CATGGGTCCAGCCTGCGGAGCCATGTCGTCTGGCCTGTGGGTTTAGGTCCTGGGTGGTGGGGTGAGCAGTGGCAGCATTAATATCCTCAGCTTTGGGAGTTGTGGCAATTCACGCTGCTGCCACTTGTCCCACAGCCAAATTTCCAGCCTCATGGGCTGGATCCAGAGCACAGCGCTGTGTCGTCTGGCTTGCAGGGCTGCTTGTGGGCCAACAATGTGACTTCAGGACAAGCAGCGGCCAATGTGGCTCCAGGAACCACAGCAATTAATGCTGCTTGACCCACCACCACACTTCTGGCCCTGCGAGCAGCCCCACAGGGCAGATGACGTGTCTCCACACTGGATCCAACCTACTCCGGCACCCCTGGGGCAAGGTGAATGCGATACCCCTGCCCTAATCCAACAGTGACGATCACTAGAGGTTTCAGAGGAAAGGGCAGGACCTGTGCAGTTATGAGTGGCTTCTCCTAAGGAAATGGTTACTTTTTAGTCCCCACTTAGATGAGCTTGGGTTATACCCTAAAGTTTGATGGTCTTAAGAGCCTTTCCAGGTTTTTTTAAAACGTTTCTATTGGTACTTGTGATATTCTGAATAGCTATATCTTGTACACACTTTCCATAGTTTAATGATGCAGGGTGTGTCACCTTGTTCATTTATGTGCCCGAATTACTGTGCATTTACTTCAGTATGTGTTCAATGAAGTACTAACTAACCGCACAGTAACTACAGAAAGGATGTGGACAATTTGGAGAGAGTCCAGCAGAGGACAATGAAAATGGTTGTGGGGACATGACTGGTGAGGAGAGGTTGAGGGAAGTGGGCTGTTTGAGTCTGCAGAAGAGAAGACTGAGGGGATTTAATAGCAGCCTTCGAGTCCCTGCAGGGGGGTTGCGAAGAGGATGGAGCTGGACCGTTCCCAGTGGGGGCAGATGACAGGACAAGGAGCATTGGGCTCAACCTGCAGCAAGGGAAGTTGAGGTTGGGTATTAGGAAAAACTTTTCTCACGAGGAGGGTGGTGAAGCACTGGAATGAGTTACCCAGAGAGGTGGTGGAGTCTCCATCCTTGGAGGTTTTGAAGACCTGACTAGACAAAGCCTTGGGTGGGATGATGTAGTTGGGGCTGGCCCTGCTTTGAACAGGGGGTTGGACTAGATGTAATCCCGAGGTCCCATCCAACCCTCGTTTTCTATGATTCTGTGACTCTATTACCTCTGTGGAGCTGTCAGATGTCTGTTCAACATGCGTTAGGTAATACCATCCGCTGACACCCCTTGCCGGAAAAGTCCATAGCACATTTTATTGCTTGAATACTTGGAAGCTTGCCTTGTATGTGCAGTTAACATGCTCTAAGTGTAACGTATACCAAGACACTTACACAGCTAAGGGGGGAAACATGATCAGCTATGCAGACTGCAGGGGGAGGCGGCTTGAAGGCTGCCGGCTGGGCACTGTGGCTGAACCTATCCTGGGCACCTCAGCTCACTGGCTGGGGTTAGTGTTTCCACCATGAAAGACTGCCTGAGTTTCCAGATGGATTTTGTCCCCAGGCAGCCCGAGGCTTTCCTTGGCTGTGGAGACCCCTTCCCCATTCACAGCCGAGCTCTTCTCTGCCAGCTCCTTGCTCTGCTTGAAACCCTGATCTCCAACTCCTGCAGCCAGCACTTCTTCTGCTGCACACCTCCTGCTCATAGTCATGTAGCCACATCTCCTTAAGGCCTCCACCCAGTCCCCCTGCTTCCCCTGGGTCCCCAAGTTTGGGGGGTGCTGGGCCCTTGCCAGGACCAGCCTGCTGGAGGGACTGGCAGCTGCAGACACCAACCTTAGAGGGCAGGAAAAGTGATGAGCATTTATTGTTTGGCTCCTGTGGTACCAAAGACACAACTCCTTCCTCCCCTTCCCAGGCTGCTGTCTCCAAAAGCTCTCCCCTGTCTTGGGAGGCCCCAGGGATCCTCAGTATGGTCCCATCTCGCCTCTCAGCTGCTGGCCTTCACCCTTGCAGACATTCAAGCGCTGTGACCTGGTGGCTGGCATGGGGGGGGGAGAGCCTGACCTGCCAGGGATACAGCAGCCCATCCATCTACGCCAGCTCCATGCTGCTCTAGAGGCTGCTAGGAAGCACGCCCTGGCCCTCTGCTCCCACTCCATGCTTCCTGGAGCCCTGACCCAGGGGCAGGCCAGGCAGGAGAGCTCCCGCAGGCTGGGGACCTGGGTCAGCTCTCCCTGTAGCCATAGCCTTGGCCCCTCCTTGCTCCTCACAAGACTCCTGCTCCGTGCTCCCAAGCTCAGACCTGAGGGGTGAGGAGCCCCAGCTCAGGACAACACAGAGCTCCGCCCAGCTCTGCTGTATTTATTGAAGTGATCTCATTCTGGCAATACAGCATAGTGGCCTGCTCAACACCCTTCTCACTAAACCATGGTGTGAGGATGGGCATCCATCCTCTCCGCATGGTGTCTCCAACACCCAGGTGAAGCCTAGAGGCCACCGAGTGTGCAAGCAGCAACATAGTGCCTCTCTACTCAGCACCGGTCAGGCTGCATCTCGAGTACTGCGTGCAGTTCTGGGCTCCACGCTTTGAAAAGGACATGGAGAAGTCAGACAAGGTCCAGAGGTGGGCAACAAGGATGATAAAGGGATCAGAAAGCAAGACATACAAGGAGAGTTAACATGCTCTAAGTGAAGGGCCTATTCAGTTTGTAGAAAAGGCACTTAAGTGGGGACATGACATCAGTCTTCAATTTTTTAAATATATTTCATGTTCCAGGTCAAATCAGCCAAATCAGTTCCAAAGCATATTGATTGAGCAGGCAGAACGGCGCTGCAACTGGCAGGCATCCTCCGTCCCAGGCTCTCACCCTGGGACTTCAGATACTCCCAAATCCATTGGCAGGCATGATACATGTAGGCCCAAGTCCAGAGGTCTTGGGATTTGGATGCCCCCACTTGATCTTAGCCCACAAGAGGCCAAGACACTTGATCTGAGCCAGAAGACCGAGAAGCAGTCTTCAAATACTTGAAGGGCTGCCATGAAGAAGAGAGAAAGCACCTTTTCTCTTTTGCTGCAAAGTGGATGTGGAACCAACGGCTTGCAGTTGCAGGAAAGCAGGTTTAGTTTGGATCTTAGGAAAAACTTCTTCACCGTTAGAGCAGGGAGGCAGTGAAATAGGCACTTAGGGAAGGGTGGACTCTCCATCATGGGAGGGGTTCAAGGAGAGGCTGGACAGCCACCGGTCAGGGATGATCTAGGTGTAGCGATGCCTGTGTTATCTTACGAGGATTTCCCAGGTTTCTGGGCCTTGCTGGTGGCCCCTGGCCCCACTTTCTGCTACAGGTGTTTCCCTCAGAGACACTGGTTGTTGAATGCAGCCAAGGGCTGGACTTGTGCCTGGCTGGGCCAGTGCTCCTGCTGGGGCTCAAATGCTGAGGTTCCTGGCTAGAGGGTCTTGCCCCTCTGCTCAGGAGAAGCAAGACCCTCTAGCCAGGGAGCAAGAAGTTTTGGGGCAGGAATTTTCTGCTGCATTGGGGGCAAGAAGGAATTCCCCGGTCAGTCTGGTTTGGACTGGCAGGGTTCTTGCCTTCCTCTGTAGCAGGGGCATGGCCTTTGCCTGGCATCTCTCCAGTGTATATTAACAACCTTTGCAGCAGCAGGATGTTGGCTGCTGCGGTTCCCCTGCTTGCTCTGTGGCAGGTTCAGGTGCAATGTCTGGTGCTGTGTTGGGGGTGACTGTGTGGTTTTGCTAAGAGGTTGGACAATTGGTTTGTCTGGGTTGGTGTGGGTAGGCCTGATCCTGCCTCCATCAGAGGGTTGGACTAGATGACCTCAAAAAGTCCCTTCCAGCCCCACTTCTTTATGACTCCTATGATTGCTCTATGAAACTGGAGGCTGGCAACCAGGGCGGGACCCGGCTGCATATTCAACCCCAGCTGTGCTCCCAGTCCCTCCACAGCCCCACACTGCAGGGGCCTGGTTGGATGCAGGTGGGTGTTAAATGGGAGCAAGAAGCTCACTCCGGGTTCTAATCCAAATCCACACGGTCAAGAAAAGCCCCAAACTGGACTTCTGCTCCAGGGGGAATTTTTGGAGCAATCAGAGGGGAAGCAAAGGAAACAGTCCCACTGGGACTGGGATAGGTGGGCCTGAGACCCAAGAAACGTGGGGCTGTGTCCTGGCATCAGGAGTTGCTCAGAGCAGGATGGCATGTTGGGGGCAGGTGGCAGCAAGAGCAATCAACCTGCTCAGAGATATGCCCAGGGTCGGGGGTGGGGGGGCAGCAGGTGTATGCCTGGAGGGCTCTAGGGCTCCTTGCTGTCCCACTCCCAGGGGAAACAGGCAGTAGAGGCTGCACACCTCTCACTGGGGAGCCTGTCTGCCTTCAACCTGTGTCAGAGGAGAGGAAAACTCCAGGTTTTCAGGGGAATGCCCCCTCCCAACCTCCTCCTGGGGCAGACAGGTCTGGCCTGACCCAGAAGCAGGACCCCCAGTCCAGCAGCTATTTGGGCATCCTGGTAAGACATATTTACGTTCGATCTACTGGGCCTCAGTCTCTGCCCACTGCCAGCCAAACTACACAGGCCCATGCCGTAGCAAACCCTTGCCATCAATGAAATCACTGGTCTCGTTCCACCGAGGTGGCCGCTTTCCTCTAAGGGGTTGGAGGAATGATGTGCTGGGGGAGTGGGTCAGACACTGCAGGCTGTCTCCAAGGGAGGTATTTGCTCGAGGGTTTATTGGTGAGTCTCAGGGGCACTGTTCAGAACCTGCCAGGGCTTGGCACAGACATGGGAACAGGCAAAGCAGCCACGCTGGGTAACCCGTCCCTGGCTGCTGCTTCTATTGGGAACAGCCCCGGGCCATCAGCCCTGTCCCTACCCCTAGCTGCCCATGAGGAAGTGGCTACTAGCCTCTAGCTTGCTGGTCCTTATGCCTGACCCAGGGGAAGGTGCCTCTAGTCCCCCTGGCTGCACCAGGGGTGGGGATGCTGCTGTCATCACTTTGCTCTATGCTACTACAAAAGCTTGGAGGGACCCACTGACAGCTACTGGGCATGGCTGGGAGCGGAGTCAGCTTCCCCCATCCTCCTGCTGGAAGGGAGCCGGAGACGCTGGCTCTGCTGGTTGGCTGTCCTCCCCAGGCAGTGTTGTGTCCTCAGGGCAGGTGCCCCCAGTGCTGGGAGCCCCGTCCTGGTGCACCATCACCTTGACAGGCGAGGCCTCCCCAGAGCCAGGTGCATCCTGGTTGAGCTTGTGGAGGGTGTCACGGACTCTGAGGATGTAGCCGTGCAGCATGCTGGCTGCGGCTGGGGGGCTGGTGGGGGTGCGGCTGGCAGCCAGCCCATTCTTCAGGTGCTCCACCTCTGTATGCAGGTGTAGCATGGACTTGTTCAGCTCTGTGATGCGGTTTCCCAGGTCTGTCAGTAAGGGAGAGGTGCGGGGACCCTGGTTACCCACAGCTTCATCTCAGTGCATGGGCCAAGTGCAGCCTGGGGCATCTCCCCCACCATCACACCCAGGGCAGGTCTGGCATCAGCTCTAGCCACATCAGCCTGGAGTTACCCTGTTGGCTCCAACAGCATGGCTCTTGCTTTGCCCAGCTGCAGCTGGCAGCTGTGAGGGGAGCACACTGGGCCCACCTTCCCATGCCATCGACCCCAGGGCAACACGAGCCTGGATGAGAAGCAGGGAGCTCCATCTCTGCCATATCACACCCGCCTGCTACCCCTGAACTGAGTTATCAACACACAGCCTAGTGCAGCCTCTGCCACCTGAGCTAAAGGAGCAATTCCACCAAGTAGCAGCAGTAGAAGGTTGTTACCCTGTGGTGAACCAGTTGCTACAAGAGGACCTAGTACATGCTCCCTGCCTTGAGACCTGTATTGGGAGGTCCCAGCCAGGCACTCCCTGCCCTGTGGGGCAGATGGCAGCAGGGGATGGGTTACCTTTCCTCCTGCTCTCTTCAAACTCCCGCCTGGCCGTGTCGATGTAGCGCTGCACCAAGGCCTTGAGCACCTGCAGCCTGTAGGAGCCACGGCTCTCTCCCTGTAGGATGTTGTCGTCCAGGGCTGAGGTAGCCTGGGGTGAGGAAGGGGAAGAGGAATTACACAGGTACCAGGGAACGGTGCTGCTTACCATTCATCCAGCCTCGCAGAACAGCCTCGCAGCCAACGTGGCTTCTACCAACGGCCACACAGCCAATGCAGCTTCTACCAGCCGCTGTGTTGTGCAGGACACTTACAATGGTGGGGATCGAGGGACAGTCCTGCTGCTTCTTGGCTTTGCAGCAGCAAATGAACTGGAAGACGCCCCTAGGGAAGACAGGAGAACATGGGTTACAAGGGGCCAGGCAGAAGCAGAGCTAGCCCTGCAAAACCCACGCTGAAGCCCACAGCCAGGTCCAAACCCTTCCAACATCTGGGCCTGCTTCCCGGTATTGGCCCACTGGAAAGATGAGCCCATTTCATGGCACTGGGAGCCAAACAGCTCCAGAATTCAGGGGGATTGTCTCCCATGTTGTATGCCAGCTCTCTGCAGTGCGCCAGTGGCTTTATCCCTGAATTCACTCAATATATTACCTTATCAAGGCAAAGAGCAAGGAGTGATTTGAGTGCAATGGAGAGGTGTCTCCAGGGACAGAAAAAGATGACAGAGGCCAGGAAATTCTTTAATCCACTAAGAAACAGGCAGAAAGAGAGCCAGTGGCTGGATGTCAAACCAGGCAAATTCAAATTAGAAATAAAGGCGCCCATTTGTAAGGAACCAAGCCCCAGGGCATCCCTTCACATCCCCCAGTCCATGCTGGCTGCCTCTCTCCTGTCTGGCAGTATTGCTTTAGCCAGACACAAGATACCAGGCTCAGTATGGAGGGATTCTTGCGAAATGCAATGGCTGGCATGGTGGAGAACGTCAGGCCTGGTGATCTAATGAGCCCTCTGGGCCTTGAAGTCTGTGAGCCGGCTCCCCGTGAAGGCCTGGCCGGTGGGAACACACTGCTTCCCCTTCCCTCTCTCCAGAACCCTTTCTCTGCTCCAGAGACCTCATCAAGCAATGGAAATTTCTGTCTGAACAACTCGTGTTTACTAGTTTCAGAAAGTCTCTTTTCTTGCAAGTCGTGGCAAAGATTAGTAGAGATGTTCAGACTGTCAAACTAAAGAGAAAGACAGAAATGCTAATTATCTTCAGGGTGGGGTCTTTTTAAATTTCCATTGAAGTTTTCTGCTTATTTTTCCTTTTGTCCCCAAATGGGGTGCAGGTGGGGGGAGAAAAAGGGAAAATTCAGTATTTTCAAACTTATTTTTGTTTTGCTTTCTGGCTTTTATTTGTTGAACCAAAATCTGAAAACTTCTAACCCTTCCCTCCCAAACCTTTCCTGTCATTTGGAAGAAAACAGATTAGTGCCATATTATTCACATCTCACACCTTTTTGCTGAAAAATTACCCACTGAAAATTGGGGGGTGTTTTAAATAAAAAACCAAACTGTTTCTGAATAGTTTGGATAAAAGCCAATGGTTTTTTGCTCTTCCTTCTGCCTTCCCAGAACAAGGTGCATAACTTTTTTGGGCAGGTGTGTGGTATGCAAATAAACATGGCATTTTTTTTTCTTTGGAAAGCCCCTGAGGGCTCTCCTTGCAAAGCCTCTCTCCCTGCAGCACAGAGAAAAAAGGCTGGTGGATAGACAGTCTGGTGATTCAGCCATGGGATGAAGAGCCAGTAGCTCTGGGTTCAGTTGTCAGTGATGGCTGTGTGGACCTTGGGCAAGTCCTTCCCTCCTTGTGCATCTCAGCTCCTGTCTGCAAAATGGGGCCTTGCTGGTCTCTGTCTCCCAGGGGGTGGGTGAGGTGCTAGAGGTGCCTCATGCCCTGAGACAGGTGAGGACCCTGGCATTACCTGACCATGTAGAAGAGGGACTTGGGGGTTGGAATGACGTTGAAGGGCACAGGCAGTGTCAGGCCCTCCCGGAAGTAGGACAGATAGAGCTTGGAGCGGGCAAACTTCCACTCCACGTCGGCATCATCCTGCAACACAAGTCGGGGGGAGCAGCTCAGAGCTGTGGGGTCATGCAAGCCTTGCAGGGCATGTGCAGGAGTTCACCAGCTGGCGCACGCTCACCCCCTTCCCTGGGTCACTGAGTATGGCCCTGGCATTGGGCAGCCTGTTCTGCCTTGCATGCTGGTAGTATATGAGGAGTGAAGCATGGGGCTTGGTGGCAGGTGGCGGGCACTGGGACATGAGCAGGGCAGGGGGAATCCACCCTGGAAAAGAAGGAGGCAGACACAGGGGTCCTGACCCCATTCGCAGGGTGCTGATTTCTCTTCAGTGCAAATACTGGATTGGCAAGGCTAGGTCTGCCAGGTGCCCACCTGGCATAAACCTCCAAGGGATCCTTGTCTGAGGGGAGCCAGTGACTGTTCCCCACCGTGCCGGAGGGGTTTAACTTAGAGATAGGACCAGCAGGGCCAAAGGACAGGGGTCTGCCCCGGACAGAGGTGTGGTATCTGGGCCCCCTGGGTTTCACCCTGACTGATCCCAAGTGCCTCTGTGACAGAGAAATGCAGCTGGCTCTGGGGTGGCATATACTGGTTGTCTGTACTATGCACAGTATGGATTCTGTTTGGAGGGGTGAGTGGGGTGAAACAGCTTCCTTGTCAAAGGACTAGGCTGGGGCTTCTACCAGCTTTGCCCCTATCCACTCAGGGGGGCTCGCTCCCAGCTGGTCCCCTCCCCCAGCATGGGCCGGGTTCCCAACAGGGCTGACCTCGATCTTCTGGAAGGAGTTGGTGATCATAGCAATGAGCATGTTGAGGAGGACAATGACCACAACGATGGTGAAGATGCCGTAAAGCGCCCGGCCCACAAACTGGGCCACGAGGACCCGGGGCATGTCCACCACGCGGTGTTCTTCCATGCCGAACATGGTCCAGAACAGGAACGGGAACGTCTCGTTGAAGCTGCCGCAGAGGGGGTAGCGGGTTACCAGTGGGATCTGAGCACAGAGTGGGCCTGATCTGGCTCAGAGCTACAGTAGGCACAGGACCATCGACCACTGCGAGTCTGGGGCCCTGCAGAGCCTTGCCCACACCCGCACACCTAGTCTACTGGGAAGACCCTTCCAACCCCAACCCTCCCAACTGACTCTGAGAGGATCCCCCCCTCTCTACTGGAAAGACACCCTGCTGGGGGAAAGCCCTGGTGCTCTGGAGTTTAGCCATACATCCTCTCATTTCCTATCTAAACTGATCCGTGACTGGGTTGTGCCTGTGTGTTCCTGGGCCAGCAGTGTGCATTGGCTTGGAGAGCTCTCCTCCCTTCCCTGGTGCTTGCTCCCAGGATGATTTATAGGCAGGAGTCCTCTCCCCACCCAGCCACCAAGCAAACCCAGCCCAGCTCTCACGACAGGCTCTCCCTCCCTCTCACCACCCAGCAGCACCTCCCTGCCCCTGCTGTGGTCCGAATCCAGCTTCCTTAACCATGGGTGACTAGCTCCATACACGTTACACCAGCCGTGGCCACAGAAGGACCTGGTGCAACTAACACTGCCCTCTCTCTGCTGGACATGCCTGCGATTGTGCTGGCTTTTCCCTTTCCTTTCTGCATTTCCCAGGCCCTGTGCCCTGCCCTGTGGCTCCAATCGGTGGAGAACTATCCGCCCCTCCCCACCAGACCCTGGGTGCAGAGGCAGGGCTGGGGGTGGCCGTACTTGCCCAGCCGCTCGGACTCCTGGTAGTGCACGTAGATGTTGTTGAGCCCACACAGGAAAGCAGTGAGGATGATCATCAGGATGAACATGAACCTGCAAGGGGAGGCCAGGGAAAGGCGTCAGAGGGCAGGGAGCCCTGGGCTGGGCAGGCTGCAATGCAAAGGGCATTCATTTCTCGGTCCCCCAGTGGGAATCTAGCTGAGACTGGGCACTGGAGGCTGCATTGCTTCCCTGTGCAGGGGGCCATGCCACTGGGCAGTCGGGCTCCAGCTGGTGCTGGGCTTAGCTCTGGGACAATGCTGCCTGCAGGCAGGGAGCAGCCTGTACCATGTGTTTGTCTAGCATCTAGCACCAGGAGGGTGCCCTCTCCAGGGCCTCTGTGACTTTATTCAGGCCTGCATCCCATGCCCATCCCTGCAGTCTGAGCACACATGTTCAGGGGGATGAAGCACCCGTGGCGGGGGCGAGGGGGCTGGCTCACTGACTTCAACAAAAATTGGGGGTGCTGGACACCTGACTGGCTCAGGCCCTGATCAGCTGTGCCCCAGCACCTCCATGCCTGGGAACCCCACACCTGCCAACTTAGGCTAGCCAGGATAGTGAGGGGCTTCAGACTCTGGACCTTGGGGCAGGGTGGTCAGTCCCTACCGGATCATGTCATCGATCATCTTCCCAATGGAGATCTGCAGGGTCCCCAGTGACTCCTGGGCCGGCAGGATATAAGCCAGACGGGTGAAGCTCAGCATGCTGGTCACTGCAAACAGCACCTCGGCGACAAACTGGGGGTCCTCGGCATGCCACTCATGGCGCCCTGGGCACAGAGGGGGCAGGTGAGAGGGGTCAGCAGACTGCCTGTCCCACGTTGAGCAGAGAAGTCCTCACAGGGGGCTTTGACAGGGGTAGCAATGCAGCAGTGTAGCCAGAGCCACGGCCTGGGTCTTGTCCCCAACTCCCTGGCCTGTCCCTTCCCCTCCTTGTGCCCTGGGTCTATAACCTTTGACCTTTATAAGGGTCTTGTTGGTAGGGTGTGGGGCGGGGGGGGGGGGGGGGGGGGGGGTTGCCTTTGTTGGTAGTTGGGACAGGATCTGACCCTGCGGCTGCAACAGCAGAGCACTGGCCATCCCAATGCTCAGCTCTGGGCTGTTACAGGTGCTCTGGGTTTCATGCCCTGTTATTTGGGAGAGGGTGTGGGGGGAACCTGTGGGGCAGCATGCAGGGGCTGGGCTCGCTGGCCGAGGGGGCTGCTCCTGCATTCCCGTCTTGCACTTTTCCCGCAGAGCTAAGAGCTTTTATCACGACTGCTGTTACTGCAGCGCCACAGCTGCCCTCTGCTTAGCGCTGAAGTAGCTGCTGTCTCAGGCTCATCCCCAGGATGAGGATTGCTGAGATTTGTCTCAACACACTGCCAGCATCCCCTCCTGCTCCTGCGCATTCCTGGGGAGATTCATGGCTGGATACACGGACTTGCCCTGACACCTCGTGGCAAACAGGGGCAATGCTCTGGCTCAGCAGGATACGCAAGCTCTCAGCATTTTGCTGTAGTAGGATCATTGCACATCACTGATAAATGTCCCTGCCATCGCATCACCAGCCTACACAACCTGGCAATGGGGGCTCAGGGCAGGGAACAGACTGAGCCCGGGATATCTTGGCTGATTTCTCACATAACCTACAGGAAAGGATGGTCGGGAGTGTTTTGAGGGGACCATGAAGCCCACTGGGGCATGAGAGGGGAGGGAGGGAGATGAGAGGTCAGCTGTGCTAGAAAATCTCTCTGAACACGGGTTGTAGGAATGTGGGATAGATGGGGCTTTGGGGTCCTTCAGTCTCCCCATAAGAGGCAGAAGTACTGAGGGAACAGGGTGCCCCATGGGGCTGGGTAATGATAGAAAGTCTGTAGATGTGAGCCCAGGCCTGGCTGGGAGTCATCAGAGTCACTGCCCCTGGGAATGAGTTTGCTGGGTCTCAGCCCCGTTCTTGCACAGGAAGCACTGTCCTGGCTTGTACTTGCTGGCCTCTGTGTTGGCAAGAGTGAAGTGGCTGGAGGCAGCTGCTGTCCCAGACCAGGGGGCCTGCTGGACAGGGCGGGGGGTGGTACGTCCCCCAGGGGGCTGGAGCCCCAGCAGCAGCAGTATGGGAGCTCACCGGCTTTGGTGAAGTAGTAGCACTCGGGCGAGGAGGGGGCGTCCCAGCAGTGGTACCGGCCCATCACGGAGACCAGCACCCGCAGCACAAAGGAGGCCAGGTACATGCTGAGCGTGACGATGTCCAGGAAGTTCCACCAGTCGAGCAGGTAGCTGCGCAGCCCTTCGATCCACACCTCCTTGCACTCGTACCAGAAGAAGCCTGGCGGGGTGAGGGGATGGGCAGGAGCAAGGGGGCCCTTGTGCCTGGCACCTCTCCAGGGAGTGAATTCAGGCTCTGGCTAGGGCTGGGCTCAGGTCCCCCACCTATAACATGGGGGCCATGATCCAGCCTTCCTCTGGTGTGAGTCTGCCTGGGCTGGAAACTCCTTGGGACAGAGACTGCTTCCGACTAGGAGCTTGTATAGCATCCAGTGGGGTCCTGGGGGATACGTAGAGGCACAGGACTGGCAGGGACTAGCTGTGTGAGCGAGCCTAGCCCCTGCTGGGGCAGAGACCCCAGCCCATGATCTACCATGGAGGCCTCCCTATGGCCACAACAACGCCCTTTCCAGCAGGCTCAGAAACAAAATCATTCACACCTGGGCAGGGAGCATCCACCAGGTCCAGTGCTGGTCCTCACTGGAGGTCTCCGACCCTATTAACTCAGCTCACCGGACTCTAGAGGAGCGAGCAGCTCCCCTCAGAGATAATTAATTACTGGCTCCCTGCTTAAAAAGTGATGTCAGCCACTCAAGACTGAGGAAAGGCAGGTCGTCAAAACCATATGAAAAAGGGGAGGCGAGGGCTTGCGCTGCTCTGATTTAACTGTAATGTTTGTCCACTCCTACCCCAGTTTAAGTGGGTGAAGGTACTGGAACTGTTAGACCAGCAGTAAATTATACTGGTATAAGATGCACCTATATAACTGTTCCATCTGTCCATTCCCATATTGGTCTATCTGCTACTTCTGTCCACACCCACAATCCCCACTGGCTCACAAGACCCCTTGTACACAGCTCAACCCTCGTGATTTCTCTTCTCCTAACTGCCAGGACCCTGCTACTTGGGGTGACACTGCCACTGGAGGTGACTTGTCCCTTAAATCTCTCAGGCCTGAAATCTCTGCCTAGGGCCCCAGTGGCAAGGCCTTCTCTGGGGATGTACAGCTTTCCAGGGGATCATTAGCCCTTGGCCTGTGGCTGGCTCTGGTGTAACTAGCTGCCTTTGCCTCATCCCATGGGTGGATTCTCGTATGGAAACCACCGTCCCCACTGCCCCTGTACGGACACATCCGAGGCCAAGAACTGCCTGGGCCCTGGAGACTAAATCCCATCTCATCTCCAGAATCAGCCCCAACCAGAGGCAACAAGCACTGGACCTGAGCACATCAGAGCCCTGCCAGGCCCCAATAGAGCATCCAGGCTCCTGGGGCAGGGCTCCTGCCAGCACCCCTCACTGCCAGGTTGCTGGAGCTCTGGACTCTGCCAGGGCTCCCTCCGCGTGACCTACCTGCCACCCAGATCATGTGCCAGGAGTTGCCCCACAAGGTCTGGCTCCGGCCCAGGAAGTCTTTGTGCTTGCGCTCCAGCACCACGGACTCCAGCAGCAGGAAGACCAGGAACCAGAGGTACGAGGCGGAGTGCAGGAGGAACTTGATCACTGGGATCTTCAGCATTTTGCCCACCTGATGGGAGAAACTTTGTCTCGCCTTGAGCAAAACTCAAGGCCATTTGGCTACATGGTTAGGGCCCACCAGGCAGCAGGGACTTAAACGGGAGCAAGTGCTTAGGAGCAGACTTCAATCTCCATGAGGATTCGGTCCAGCAGACCTCCAGCTTGGGTGCGTGAAGGGAGAATTCATCCATTATCAGGCAAAAAGGGGATGCAGCACCCTCTGGTCTGTGTAAAACAGAGTGCAGAGCTGCACTGAGCTAGCACTGGTTGGAGCCAGAGCTAAAACGCCCTGATTTTAAAAGTGCTCAGGACAGACAATCCAGCCCCAACAAGCAGGTTTAATGGCCAGTTGCAGCTGGTGCTAAAAGTCCACACTTCAGTTTCACTCCCAGTTTACCTAGCCTCAACATCCAGCTGTTGGACCTCATTGGACTTGTGTCACCTGGAGGAACAAGCTCATCATCCCAATTGTGCTCCTGTGGGAGAGGATCCCATCATCCCTCCATCCTCTCTTGGTCAAACCGAGCTCTTGCAGTCTCTAGGTATGAGCTGCCATTCTTTCTTTCCTTTTTCTGACGCTGCTCCAACCTACAGTGGTCCAAAGCTGTGGGAAGCCCACACCTGGGTGCAGCAATCCAGCAGCAGCTGCACCAGGGAAAGAAGAAGCAGAGCCTGCTCGCATTGGGTGTCCCCCTTCATACAGCCAAGGACAGCATTAAGTCTTGGACCACTGCCTTGTCCCTGGGGGTTCCCCAGCATCATTGCCCCTCAGCCTCTCTCTGAACGCACTGAGAAGGGGCAAGAACCTGGTGGAGACCAAATGCATGGGGGTAATTGCACATACATATGTGCGCACGCACACACACACACACACGATTTGATGATCTCAGGAAGGGAGATCATTAGAAGTGCCATCAGGTTTCTATGGGAGACAGATATTACCAGGCTGGGTCTTTCTGGGGGGCCTTCTATCTGTTAGGGGCCAGAGTCAGGTGCTTTGGAGGCAGCTGTAAGAAGCCGGCAGCAGGGTGGTGCAGGAAACCTTCTTCCCTGAGCCCCCTTTTCCCTTTGCAGCAAGGCCACTTACCCGGGACTTGGGAGCAACCCAGTAGAGCAGGCACAGGATGGGCATGGTAAGGAAGATGGAGCAGGAGACAAAGAGCTTCCAGAGGGTGTTGCTGCCACGCCAGCCGGACAGGTTCCCGCACCAGATGGATGACAGCACTTGCTGGCAGATGGGGTGCGCGACAAACTGGGCCAAGATGAGAGAAGGGGATCAGAGGGTCAGTACCAGCAGCCCTCACAGTGACCCATTGCTTCCCCCTCCTGCTAGGCAAATACTGCTCCCAGGAATATACAGGAGCTCTCTCAGGATGCAAAGGGAGCCTTTGCCTACCAGCAAAATGCAGTTGACTCTGGGGTGCAGCACACTCCCATGCCCACACTGGGGTGAGAGCATGAAGCAAAAGTTCATCTCCAATCCCAGCTGCTGCTGCAGGGGGGAGTTTAGGGAGGTTGAATCAAATGGAGCATGTTGGAACCAGGATGCCAAGGTTTATGTCCCGACCCCAGCCAGAAGCACTCAGAGTTCATTAATGATCCTTTGTTAGAAAGGACCCTTGCAGCACCCTGGTGGGGAGCTTCCCTAGTACTGGCTCAAGGTGGGGGCTGCAACCCTCCTAGCTATGAAGCCTGCCCCGCACTCACCCTCTTCTGGTCGTAATGGACGGCCAGGCGGAGCCGGGCCAGGTTGGGGATGCCCTCCTCGAAGGCCTGGCTGCCCAGATCCTCCTCCTCGCTGCTGTCCCCCAGGTCGTTGAGCACGGCCGCCACCTCGCTCTGGTTGCGACACATCCCCAGCAGCTCGAAGGCGAACTCCTGGCCCAGCTGCTCCAGGAAACTCCTGGCTCAGCTGCTCCAGGCGCAGGTACTCGGGCTGCGGGAGGAAGAGCACGGCCTAGAGGAATGCCTGGGAGCCCTATCCTGTAACAACCTGAATGCACAATGATGGGACCCCAGCACCAAAGGCAGATGATTCAGCAGAGGAACTCACTGCTGCAGGGAGCTGAGACACTGACACTCGCCCAATGCAGCATCACATGCATGTGAGCCAAGACTTACAGCAATGTCAGGAGTAAACCTACTAGCATGATAGCTGTATTTGGAGGTGGTCACTCGGAGACAACAGTCCCACGACCCGCAAGCACCTATCAGGCAGCTTTTCCTTTCACAGGATGGGTGCAAGGTTCCTAAAAATGGTACTATGAACACTAAATTATAACCCTCATTTAATACTTTTGTAACCATAACATGCTGGGGTACACACCTGTGAGGTGTTGCAAGGTCACTACCTGGTTAAAACTGAGCAAGCACCTACAGATTTTGTCAGAGCATGAGCATTGTTAATGGTTGTGAGGAGAAAAATGAACAGAGAGGAAGGGTATGTGATAAGAAATGTCTGCAGGGAGGGGTGGTTATGATATGGGTATGTTTATGCATATGTTTTCAAAAATGCCCAATAGTAAGAAATCAATTATGTAAGTAGATTCATAGATTCATAGATTCATAGAAGTAGTCTATAAGTAGCCAGCAGCATGGAGTGTAGCAGTAAGAATAATGAATATGAAAAAAAGATAGATGTAAAAATAGTTTGGGAACAAAAGGACATTGTACCATTGCACTACTGAATCACTGCACCACTGGAATACATGCCCAAATTTCCCAGCGAGACCCTGAATTGTCGTGTGGAGAATTTAGTGTTGGTGCTTGTCAGTTATGGACAGCTGTTCTGAGCCTTTCTGCACAGAGCAGGATATAAGCTAAATAATAATAGTAACACCTCCATGCTGCCCAGCCTGGGCATAATGTGGGGGGTCCTGTGTGCCCCCTGCCTGGCTCACACAGGGTAGGGACCAGAAAGGAGTCCAGGATGGTGCTGAGCCCCCTGGGTCCAAGCCCAGAACTGCTGGAATAGAGTTTCACCCTCTGATACCCCCTGGCTCCCTGCTGCCCCGGAGAGCTGCGGCCCACAAGAGAACCAGGACAGATGGAGACTTGGGAGCTGGGAAGTGCCTGACCTTGAACTCGGGCTCCTTGCGAGAGAGGCGCTTGAGCTCACGGCTGAGCTTGAAGGCAGCAAGCATGGCATCCTCGCTGGCAACCGAGAGGTAGGCCCGGCTGGCGAGGCCCTTATAGGTGTTGATGCGGGAGAGGGAGAACTTGAGCAGGTCGTACTGGCGGGCGTTGGTGCACTCCAGACAGGGGCAGGAGACGCGGTGGGGGTGAGAGATGGTGTGGCCTTTCTGCGTCAGCATGTCCACGATCTCGTAGAGGTCCTTCTCGCAGGCCAGGGTGAGTGGCGTCACGCCGGGCGCGAAGCGGGAGGCGTCGATGGTGTTGTCGAAGAAGGCCAGTGAGAAGGACTTGAGGTCCATCTTGAGTCCCTTCTCCTGGTTCAGCCGGTCCAGCAGCAGCTTGACCACGCGGGGCTGGTTGGTGTCCACGGCCACCAGCAGGGCCTCGTGGACCTGGCGGAAGTCGAATTTGACGTAGCGCAGCAAGGACTTGGCCACTTCCTCCCCGCCCGCACGGATGGCCAGGTTGAGGGCTTCCCGCCATGCCCGGTCCTCGGTCTCGTCCAGCTGCCGCAGGATGCCATCGCCCACCTGCAGCAGCTGCTGCACCATGGGCAGGTTCCCGTCCTGGATGGCGCTCAGCAGCCCCCGCGGGAACTTCAGCTTCCTGTTGACGATCTCCCTCCAGTTGGGCTGCTGCTGGGGAAGCAGAGCTGGTTGGGTTAGGAGAGACCCTGCAGTTCATCCCCCTGCCCACCCTGACTTGCTCTGAACCACCTCGGAGGAAGAGGATGACATCTCCCATCCCCCTTAGATAGCCCACCCCAAGGCTTCGCCAGGGCTAGAAAGTGTCTCCGGTCATCCTGGCCAGGGGCTGAGCCTGCCCCTGGGGCCTATGACCACTCAGTGAGCCGCACGCCCTGCTGTCCCACCGCAAGCCAGCGGCGAGGACCTAGGAGTCCTGGATCCCAGCTCCTCTGTCCCTCCAGGAGAGGGGCTAGGATTCAATCCTGCCATGTTGCTGGCTGTCATTCAGGGTCTGGGTCTCCTTCTCCACGGCAGCCCCTCAGGGAGTCGCTGTCCTGGTCACCGCTGAGCCGTGGCTCAGAGGCAGCCGGAGGCAACTGGCTCCAGCACACAACCAGGGGCAAGGCCCAACCTGAGGGCCCGTCATGCCTTCCTCCCCCTTGGGGCTCAGAAGCAGCTGCTCCCGGCTTGACAGGAGCAGCTCAGTGCCAGAGACTCGTTTCCTCCTGGCTAATTAACTCCCCTGGCATCTCCATCAGGCGCACTTGAATTCACAGCTTGCAACACCAGCTTGCAAGGGGCTGGAGGCAGCAAGGCTGGCTCGAAAGGGATAAACAGCGGGTGCCACACTCAGGAACCACTGCGCAGAGGGGTCCTCCAAGGGCTGCTCCACAGGGAGGATAACAACCCCCTCCTGCAGCCAGCAAGTGGAGCCCCCTCTGGCTCACAGGGCAGGGCTTTGCTGTGGGGCCGATGCTCAGCTTGCTGGGGAGCGCTGTCCGTGGCCGGGGGGGTCACACCTTACCCACAACACCCAGGTGCGGGGGCCAGTCCCTCGTGCGCAGAGCTTGGGTGGAGGGCTGCGTTATCCAGGGTCCCTCAGAGCCAGGAGACCTGGGTTCCTGGGCTGGGAGGGGGCAGGGACCTTGAGAAATCTGCATAGAAGTGGGGCAAAATTTTGAAGGTGTCCCCAACTTACCACCACCACCTGGGGCAGCCGGCCGGAGGAGGATGTGGGCATGCAGCAGGGGAAAAGCTACTGCGATGCCAGGAGGGGCCAGCACCACCACAACATGGATCGAGGCAGGCCTGGCATTAGAAACAGGTCTAATATATGGGTCTGAACCATCTCTGAGAGAATCTGGGGGCACAAAAACAGGGGAAGGGGGTGACAGGACGAGGTGCCACAGGAGCAGGGTGTGGGCTGTTACCCAACCAGCCCCTTCTTGCCCTGCAAGGGGAGTGAAGGAGCTGTGCCGCCCTTTCCTGAGACACAAAGCCCTGGGGTCTCTGCAGTACCCACACTCGGTGCAGACCACGAATGCTTTCCCTTCACCGGTCACTGACAGTAATCGCATGTGCAGACAAAGCAGGCTCCTACAGCCGCCCCTGACTGGATGAGCCGCGAGGCACTTTGCGAGGTGGACCCCAGCTAAAAGGCAGCCACTTCTGGGGTGGGGGGAGGAAGCCGAGCAGAACACAATACAAGTATGTGCACGGGGGCAAAGGCTCCAGCCCACTTCCCTGCCCCTGACAAACCAAGCTCACAGCACCCCAGGGAAACCACCTGGGACAGCCAGCCCCGTTCACGGATGGAGAGCACAAGGCTCAGGACAGAACGATCCCGGTGCACACAGCGCTGCCTGGACCAGCATCTCTGCAGCCTCTTGGCGGGATGGAGCGCTGCACCGGCTCAGCCCAGCCAGTTTGGAGCTCGGATAGTAGGCAGACAAACCAGGGAGCTACCTCAGCTCCACATGAAGCCCTCTGCCCTTCCCAGGGCTGCCCTCACTCTTGCTCTGCCCGAGCTCAGAGCGAGCCAGCTCCCGGCTCCCCTGCTCTGCTCCGGGGGTCACTGGGGGCCTCGCAGTGTGGCCGGGGGGCAACGGGTATTTCACCCCCAACCTGCTCCAAGGATCACAAGAAGCCTGAATTCTCCATCTGGAGATGGCCCAGGGCCAGGTCTTAACAGGAGCCCTGCCCAGAGACCCATTCGGAGAAGCTGCAGTTGCTCAGCACCGCTGGACCTTTCTCCAAGGAGACTGATGCTCTGAGGAAGATGTCCAGATGGTGGGCCGGGAGAAGCAGGTCCCCGATGCAGCCGGGATGGAGAGGATGCCCACTACTCACCATGGCGCTCTCCTTAGCAGGCTCGCTGCCCTGCTGTGCCTGCCACGCCGTCCCTGCCAGCTGCACGCCCAAGCCCCTGGTCGCTGGCGAGGCTTCAGTTCAGCACCCACTGACTCAAGGCTGCTGGGATGTGAAGTGCCCAACTGCCCCCCTCCAAATACCCACAGAGGCTCCAAATCCTGCCCTCCCTGCTCAGTTCCCCCACCCTGCTGCCACACCGCCCGCCCTTTGTGGCACGGCACTGAGCTGGAGGCTTGTTTGTGCCTGTCAGGTAGGAGCAGCCTGGCAGCTCCCCTGGGCAAGGCTGTGCAGAACGAGGACGAGGACGGGCACGCCGCTCTCCTACCTGCCCCTGGGACTCTGCAGGGGTGCTAGCTTCCCCCTCCATCCCTTCCTTGCACCAGCCAAACCTAGCACTGAAACAGCATAAGGATGCACAGCCCTCACCGCAGATACCCTGTCCCCTTGCTGCCCTGGTGCAACCTCCCTCTCCCCCCGTCCCTGCTGCTGTCCTTGCAGCTTGGGATCCTGATTGCTGTCTGCTTGCTCCTGCCCTGCAAGGTGGATCCCGGCTCAATTTGTGCCCAGGAGGCAGAGGGAGGCAGGACAGCCACTCATGGGGCAGAGGGGCTTAGCTCAGCCCCTGGATTGCAGGATGAGTGCCCATAACATCGCTGCAGAGCTGACAGCCGCACGGCTCCCACTGACAGCTAAGGATGGGCAGAGCCCTGCAGCCCTCAGCACCTCTCAGCACCACTGCAGAGCCAACCATGCTCCAATCCAGCTCCTGACACCCGTGGGGCCTGGCTGCGCTGGGCTCCAAGACACACAACCGCCCGTCAGACTTGTGCGTGGCCTGCTAAGCAGCAGTGCTGACCCCATGCGCCCTAAAGAGGGGAACTGGCCCCATGCACCCTAAGGAGGCACGCCGATGCTATGCTCCCTATGGAGCGGTGCTGACCTCCTGCACCCTAAGGAGGCACGCTGACCCAATGCACCCTAAAGAGCAGCACTGACCCCATATACCCTAAGCAGCACGCCCACCCCATGCACCCCAAGGAGTGGTGCCAACCCCATGCACACTAAGCAGCCGTGCCCACCCCATGCACCCGAAGGAGCAGCGCCGAGCCCATGCACCCAAGGAGCCAGGACCAGGCAGCACGAGCCCGTCCCTCTCTCCCCTGCCTGCGCTGCTGGCGCTCCTGCCCAGTGGGCAGCCGGGGCAGCTGCAGCAGGTACCCCAGGTCAGTGCTTCCTGCCCGCCTGCTAATGTCGTGCTCCCCGCCTCGATCTTCCTGCTGTGAAATGGGCCCGTCTGCCCCATGAGGGGGAGGGGCCTGGAGCATGGGCAGGGGGAAGGGGTGGGGTTGCTGGGCCATGGAGATTGGGTGTGGGCGGGGCTTGGTGACCGTTGGGCGCAGGGCGTTGACCGTTGGGTGCCAGGCGTTGACCATTGACCGTTGGGTGGGCACAGGGGCGGGGCTTGGTGACTGTTGGGCACAGGGCGTTGACCGTTGGGCGCCAGGCGTTGACCATTGACCGTTGGGTGCGGGGCGTTGACCGTTGACCATTGACTGTTGGGCGGGGCTGGCGGCACAGGGCCGCTGCGCGCGCTGCTGCTGCTGCTGTTGCTGGGGCGGGGCGAGAACTGGGGAATAAGTTTGGGGACAGGGAATGAAAACGAAGGGAGGAGCCCGGCAGAGAAATCGGTTTACAAAGACTACTGAATTGAGATCCGGATATCAGGCCTCTTGTACCTCCAGGATTAGTCGTCTGCAGCAAACTGCAGAGTGACTGCACAAAAGGGAAGGACACTGCCCAGTTAGTGTCCACTTTTAAAATATTCTGTTTTCCCAGCTTATGACTCTCTCACAGTTTCTGAGACTTCAGTTCTCTCTTCCCGAGGCGACGGTGCAGGGACGGTAGAAGCAAGGGGTGGCTAGGCACTCATGCACTACCGCTCGCCAAGAAAATGCACATTGTTGCCCTGAGGTAGCCCAGGGGTCCGGGCTTGGGGCACGCACGTAGGATGCTTGCCATGGATTTGGGAGTGTCTGCAGGCCCAGGCTGAGGAGTCTGGGCAGGAGAGTACTTGCAGGCGGTCGCGCCGCACAGACTTATACGGTTGAGTCCTGCTCCGTTGACAGGATTTGGAGCCGATTTGGCCTGAGAGACCAGTGGTGTATAAACCTTGTCTCGGGTGCCTGGGATTGCTGGACGGGGAGGATTCATCCCAATCTTGAGCAAACAGTCATTCAGCTCTGTAGTGAAGTCCAAGGGCTGTTGATCAGGACGGTGACTTCTGCACAAATCATTTTTAGATCTGTATAATCTGGAAGGGCATTTCCCCCCTACAACAAAGGCCAGATCCTCCATTGAATCCACTATTCTGTTTTTGCTCATTTTATGTCTTTATATTTTTTTCAAGGTTTTGCTGAGATGTCAAAAATCCTTTACTCTGAAGTAATAGTATCAAAAAAGCTAGAACCTAGGGGCGGTGGAGACAGCAAGGTAATTTTTCTCTTTTGCTAAACAGCAGCCAAATGTCCTGCTTCAGTAAAAGGTTGTTAATATACACTCAGGAGATCCCAGGTAGAGGACCATGCACCCCCTCAACCCACACCCCCACCACAGAGGAAGGCAAACCCCCCACAGTTCACAACAGCTTGACCGTGGGGGGAAATGTCTTCCTGACCCTAGATGTGGCAACTGATCTGAATGTGTGTGTGGAGAGGCAAGACCCTCCAGCACTGGCACAGCCCAGTCAAATCTCCAGGCTTGGCTGCATCCACCACCCAGTGCCTCTGAGGGAGGCTTACAAATACCCTGACACAAGTAGCAGCAAGCATGGAGAAAAATCCCTCCCACCCCCATGCCACAACCAGCAAAGCCCAGAAGCCTGGGAAATCCCCATAGCAGAACACAGGCATCGCTGCACCTAGATCATCCCCGACCAGGGCTGTCCAGCCTCTTGAACACCCCCAGTGATAGAGTCCCCACCTTCCCTAGGCGTCTATTCCACTGCCTCCTTGCTCTAGTGGTGAAGTAGTTTTTCTGGATATCCACTCTAACCCTGCTTTGCTGCAACTTAAAACCATGGGCCTGTGTCATCCCCTTTGCAGCAAGAGAGAAAAGGTGCTTTCCCTCTTCTTTATGGCAGCCCTTCAAATATTTGAAGACTGCTAACATGTCCACTGTTAAGCACCTTTTCTACAAGCTGAACAGGCCTAGCTTCTTCAGCCTCACCTTACATGATTTGCTTTCCAAGTTGCCTGCTTCTGAGCTCTTCTAACTCCTCTACGTCCTTTTTGAAATGTGGAGCCTCAAATTGAATACTCTAGATGGGGCCTAACCAGTGCTGAGTACAGAGCATCTTTCATCTAGTATTAGTATCCCAAAACTGCATTTGCCTTTTGTGCATCTGCATCACGATACAGACTTCTATTGAGTCTATGATCTACCAGGACTCCCAGATCCTTCTCCATAATGCTGCCATCCAACCAGGTGTCATCCATGTTGTAACTGTGTTCTTGATGCTTCCCAAGGTGCAGCACCTTGCATTTCTCATCATTGACCTGCATCCTGTTTTCTTCAGCCCAGCTTTCCAATCTATCAAAATCTTTGTGAATTCTGCTCTCATCCTCCACTGTGTTTACAGCCTTCCTAGTTTTGTGTCATCTGCAAATCAAGGTGATTTGGCTAGCATTTCATTTTGGGGTTAATCAGGGAACAAGTTCCTGCAATGTTAAATGTCCCAATTCAGCCTTTTTGGGATAAAAAGTTTCAGGTCTCCATTTTGAAATAACTTTTATGTTCAGACTTTCTTAAAGCTTGTTTTATATTCCTGCTACGTAGAATTTCAAGGTTAAAACTAATTATTTTAAGCATTAAAAAAAATGCGTCTTTAATTTTCAACTTTCCCTTTGCAAGAAAATCAAAATCTGTGGTTTTTATTTTGATTCTGAAAAAAGCCAGATTTTGAGTTCTTTAACTGTTTCATAAAATGAAACTTCTGTGGGATGCATAGCTGTACTTAAGGAGAATTGACCTCATTTTCGATGCTGAAGTCAATGCCTAAGATTGCCTTACAAGCCTACAACTATGTAGTAAGATGGTTATGTGGGGTCATATCCCTTCCAAGCACATTTCTATTCTGGATGAGTATCGTTCCATGCTTATACTTGGGACACGTTTGATGTAGCGCGTAGTAAGTATTTACCTTGTGACTACTCAGAAAACTTTGTAACTCATAGTTTTGCTTATTACGATCAAAATAAAATGAGGTAGAAAGTTTTCTGAGCAGTCATGCAGTAATGCTTGCTACAATCTAAATGAAACATGTCCTAAGTGCCAGAGCCATTGAATACTGCTGTACGCTGTAGTGTTGTCAGTCCCAGTCCCTGCAGCACAAACAGCTAGTTGTTGGTGCTGGCCTCCTCACCACATCAGTCTCTCCTGACTGTATTATCCCTGGGGCAGTCAGATATTAGCTCAACGCATGTTAGATTGCACCATCTGGAGAACCTCCTTCGTTATTCTGTGATGGCCCTTAGCACGTGTTTTACTGCTTGACATCTCAGACACTAGTGTTTAAAGTGCAGTTAACATGCCCCAAGTATAGTGTATGACAAAGGCCATAGACTTCATGATTAACTGAACAATAAAAATCACTTTAACATCCCACAACTTTATACCTATGTGGTTACCATGTGTGGGGTCCTGTTTCTTTTATAACTCAAATTGCACCACTGTAAAATGTAATGTTAACACATTCTTAATCAAGCTTTTAGATTTGTCTGTTTTGGGGCTCCTTGTCAACTGTGGTGTCTTTTGTAGCCAGGGTTCCAGATAAGAGAAGAAAGATATGCTCTGAACACAAACTGATTGAATATTGCCAATTTTATTTTTGTTTGATGAAAGGTAGGAATTGCTTTGCCCAAAAGTTTTCAAAAAATATTAAATTGTATGTTTTTGTGTCTTGTCTGCTACAGGCGGAGGAGTCCTATTTAATCAAAATAGCAGGAAGTCATCATATTGTTCATCTACAGCAAA